CTATTTGGAGGGGCTGGTGGGAAAGGGGCGGGGCCGAGGACGGGGCGGTGGGAAAGCACAATCTGGTCCGCACCTGGGGGTAGTCCGGGCGTTCTGTACTCGGTTTGCCGTGGTACACTTGCGGCCAAGCCCACACCCGTGTTTATTGGCACCCCTGAGACAGGAACTCGAGTCTTCTGACGCCTATTCTGATGAGGGGAGGGGTCCTGTGGACTAGAAGTGCACTTTTTAAACTCCGTTGCCCCTCCTTTCCTTCCCGGATTGATGATTGAAGAGGTTCTCTACTTAAAAATTCTTGATTGGGCACCTACAGGCAAGTGCCCTTAAGTGTCTGATATTTAAGGTTGAGACAGCATTGCTTAATTTTTCAAATCAGTACGAGTAAAAACAGTCTTACTGTACAGTTTTTGTGACTGCTCTCCTTAATAGTGAAGATTCTAACATCTCAGATACAATTTGGGGATTTGAGGTTTTTAAGGTGGTGACAATGGGAATGGTTAATCTTTTAGGTCCTTCCTGTTGCTTGCTACCCTTCAAAAGAATAAAATAGTTTCTTTTTGTAAACCAAGTGTACTGCTGCAGAGGAATGCCCAAGGACGAGCCCTCACTGGGGCTCCTTTCTGCAGTATTTCTCAAACTGAGAATGTGGAAGGGGATCGCAAAGTCACCTGCCACGCTCTAATGTGGGCGACGACTTCCCTCCCTCACAGTCTTGTTCTCTTTATTTATATTTCTCCCTAAAGTGGTTGCTCTTCTCTTGTCTTTGTTTTTTTAAGGATAACCCATATTTTTATAGATTCACCAAGATTTTATTTTGCACCCACTATTTTGAGGATATTTGGTGAAGGTCTTAAATGGGTTTATGGCAGGTTTCCTGCCAACACACAGTTCCTAATCTTGCAGTGTGTTTTAGTGATGAACATAAAGCATTTAAATAGGAAATGGTTAAATTACAATGAGCATTTCAAGGATGATACTGTTCATTATTGATCTTTGCTCTTTAATTTTGCCTTTGCTAGATAGTTTATTTGTGAGCGTATGTCAGCTAGGTAAGGTGATTCAAGTTTCACAGTGTGAGATGGGCAAGACTGACTGAAAAAAGAAAGGTTAGCAGCCTTGTCTTCAGTGAATTCTAGCAGGGCTTAAGGTGTTGAGGCTCATGACATGCCAGTCTCTACCTTGTCTCCCCCTCGTTTTGTTTAATTGCCATGGGGCATGTACTCTTGCACACATGCAAGCACAGGAAAGAGAACTAAACAACAGAGACCTTCCTCAGTGGGGCATGTTTACGCCACAATCCATCTTCCCTTCATCTCGTAATGCTGTTGGCAGACATGCACATGAAGTCTGTGTTTTTCAAGCTGCTGGGGCTGAGATTTTACCATGGTCAGCCATGTGGGATCTGGCTCCCAATGGACAGCACTTAGCCACTATGCTGCAGGGGTGGCACTCCACCTTGGTAAAAACAGTTCACTTGGGCCAGCAGGTGGCACGGTGGTTAGAGTGGTGGACCCCACTTGGCTGTGGTTCAAGTCCAGGCCAGAGGCTTGAGAAGCACACCTGGCGTGTGTGTGTGTGCGTGCGCCCAAAATCCTGAGCGGAGAAAGGATACTACAGTGGTCATCACCCCTGGTGTGTGATCTCTCACTTTCTCTGTCTTGTGTCTCTCCAGTGAGTGGATATGTCTTATGGTAAAAAAACCTCAAAAAACAAAACAAAAAACAATTCACTCAGAGACCTTTCCAGAGCTAAAGTAGATGACTGTGAAGGGCGGATGGCAAGGAGCTTGCTGTCATTCAGAAGCAAGGTTTAAATTTCTTCACATACATTAAGCCTTTCAGAATAGAGGTAACACATTATTTTCTGACCTTCCTGATATAGACGACAGAAGTTGACAGAATTAAAAAGAGACCACTGGAAAATGATGGGCCAGTTAAAAAGAAGGCAAAGAAAACCCAAGAAAAGGAAGGAGGAAGTGATTTGTTAATGTCTCGCGACTCTGGTGAGTTTGGGGTGGATTCTTTCTTTCCTGCAGTCATAACTCTACTACTCTTGAATTCTCCAAGCACAAAGAAAACTGTGGGAGGGTTGTGTCTTTTTCTTTGTGGAGAGATGTCCCTATGAGCCTGAGCAGAGTGGCACCTCCCTATTTGGTGAATGAGTACGTAGAAGATTGGAGAGTGGTTGAACTGGAATCTGCAATTTAGCTATAGTTTCTCTACTTGCTGTTTACTCTCTGTGGCTATTTTTGGTCCTGATTATAAAAGTAAAATACTCGTATTATGTTAGGTTGTCAGAAAAGTCAGGACACATTTTTGCATAGAAAAACATATCATGACTTTTCTGACCACCCAATAATAATTTGAAGTTGCAGAGAAATTTTAAAGGTAATCAGTGAAAGACCCCATTATCCTTCCCTTTTAGTGGGGTCTACTACTAATTATTTGGGATGCTGTATATTCTTCCAGAGTTTTCTTTCCCTTTTTAAAAAATTTATTTCTTTTATGAGTGGTAGAGACACAAAGAGATGGAGAGACATATCTCTCCCTCCCCAAGTCCCCGTGCTGCAGTCCACATCCAGCTTTAGTAAGTCCTGGATCATGGGCATTTACATGCCGGCCCCTGTTTGGGGAAGACCCTGGACTCAAACCGTCTTGTGTCAGCCTTGTAGAGTGTTGCATTAATGCTGCATATTCGTCTGGCCCCTAGATCTTTCTCTACAGACACATCATATGTGCATGCCTATAGACCCATGAATGAGTAATAATCATAATAATTATTAGGTTGTTGGAAAAGTCATGACATTTTTTCTATAAAAATGTTATATTTTACAGATGGTATTATATATATACATTTTCAATATAATTTTTTACTTAACATTTCAGACAATTTTAACATTAGGACATGTAGATAGGCTTTTTTATTTATTTATTATTTTTTTTGGCACGGAACTGTTCTTTCTGTATGCTAAAAGACATTGGTTAAAAATAGCATTCCTAGGACCAGCAGATGGCCTAATGGTTATGTCACTGGACTCTCCACATAGTCAACCACAGCTCAAGTCCCAGACCTCGTGGCTTAAACTCATGCCAGGCACATGTGCCCAAGATCCCGAGACGAGAATGGAGGAGAAGGGATTATGTGTGACAATCCCTCCTGGGGGGTGATTTCTCACTTTCTGTGTGTCTGCCTCTCTCTTTCTCTCTGGTGAGTGCATGTGCCCTATAGCAAAAATATCTCTTTGAAAAAAAAAATAGCATTCCTGTGGCCAGCAGGTAGTATAGTGGTTAAGGAGCTGGACTTCCATATGACCAACTGTGGTTCGAGTCCTGGACTTGGAAATCATTCCGGACGTGTTTGTGTACATGCCCCAAAATCCCAGCAGGAAAATGGAGGAGAAGGGATTGCAGCGGGGCCATCCCCCTGGGGTGGGGGTGATTTCTCATTTTCCCTCTCACTTTCTCTCTTTGTTTAGTGAATGCATGTACCCTAAGGCAAAAACTGTTTTTTAAAGGGATATTACAGTTTTTTTAAAAAAGAATTATTTATTAATTTTATTTATTCATTCATTTTTTTAAATTTTAATTTGACCAGAGAGAGACACACAGAGAGACAGAGAGAGAGAAAGAAGGAAAGTGAGAAAGCAAGCCACCAGGTCCAGGACTCAAACCATTGTTGGCCATGTGGGAGTGTCCAGAGCCTTAATCACCACGCCACATGCTGGTCCCAAGGCAAAAGCCTTAAAATCAAGACAAAACAAAACAAAAGTAGCTTTCCTGAACTCCTGGACGTTAAGAGATAGTGTAGTATTGGATATAGATAATTGAGCAGTTTTATTCTCTAATTTTTTGCTTCAGATAATTTATGTTAAGAGAAAACAGGAAACCAATCTTTTTTGAGAGAGAGTTTTGCTTTTAGGGCTTGTGCTCTCTCCAGAGAGACTGAGAGACAGAAAGTGAAAAATCACCCCCCGGAGGATGGCCACATCACAATCCCTTCTCCTCCATTCTCCTCTCAGGATTTGGGCATGCACACACATGCGCCTGGCGTGAGTTTTAAGCTAGCGGGTCCCAATTTAGTGGCGATATCTTTCTAGTGGAGGTATGTGTAAAATGTTTATTCTTCTATGAGAAATAGATTTGGACCTAAGGACAACTTGAAAACCTTGATATGAAATAACTACAACCATGGAGAGATGTATGGCTCAGGAAAACATAAATCTGGTAAGGTCTTCCTTCTTTCTGAAAGGGCCATGGAAGGAGACATGAGTGAAGGATTTTTGCCAGCGTTAACGTTGCATTTCTGAGGTTGTCTACCTTCTTTTGCTTTATTACGCTCTGCAGACCTGATCTACTCAATTTCTCAGTAAATTCCATATATAGTGAATGAGCACCAACTGCTTGGAAAAAGCCTGCCATTATTTTCGAGGCTTTTTGTAGCTTATATACTCTCCCTACGACTCTTGTTGTTTTCCCTTTGTAGAGGAAGAGGAGAGTGGAGGATTAGCACAGGGAAGTGACTTAACCAAGGCCACATAGGACTGAGATGGAAAGTGGTTGAAATAAGAACAGAAAAGGAATCATACAGGACCTTTGCTGCTTGTTAAAATGACACTTTTTTTTTTTCAGTAGAGTTATTAAAATATACCCACCTCTGTTTTTTGAATAGGATGATTAAAACATAATTCTTATACTATATAATTCACCCATTTAGCATGAACAATTCGGTGGATTTTAGTATATCCCCAGAATCATGCAGCCACGTTTTT